TGATAACATCCTTCAGTAAGGTGGCAGGATACAAGATTAACTCAAAAAAATCAGTAGCCCTCCTATATACAAATGATAAATGGGCTGAGAAAGAAATCAGAGAAACATCACCCTTTACAATAGCCACAAGTAATATAAAATACCTTGGAGTAACTGTAACCAAGCAAGTGAAAGACTTGTTTGATAAGAACTTTAAGTCTCTGAAGAAAGAAATCAAAGAAGATATCAGAAAATGGAAAGATCTTCCATGCTCATGGATAGGTAGAATCAACATAGTAAAAATGGCAATCTTAACCAAAGCAATCTCCATCAAAATCCCAATACAATTTTTCACAGACTTGAAAAGATCAATACTTAACTTTATATAGAAAAACAAAATACCTAGGATAGCTGAAAGAATCCTGTATAATAAAGCAACCTCTGGAGGCATCATGATCCCTGACCTCAAGCTCTACTATCAAGCTATAGTAATAGCTTGGTACTAGCATAAAAACTGACATGTGGACCAATGGAATCAAATTAAAGATGCTAACATTAATCCACACACCTATAAACATATGATTTTCGACAAAGAAGCCAAAACTTTACCATGGAAAAAAGAAAGCATCTTCAACAAATGTTGCTGGCATAACTGGATGTCAACATGCAGAAGGTTGCAAATAGATCCATATCTGTCACCATGCACAAGTCCAAGTGGATCAAAGACCTCAACATAAATCTAGTTACACTGACCTTGATAGAAGAGAAATTAGGAAGTAGTCTTGAATGCATTGACACTGAAGATCACTTCCTAAATATAACACTAGTAGCACAGACACTGAGAGCAACAATTAATAAATGGGACCTCCTGAAACTGAGAAGCTCTTGTAGAGCAAAGGACACAGTCAATAAGACAAACATCAGCCTACAGAATGGGGAAAGTTCTTCCCCAACCCCACATCTGACAGAGGGCTGATATTCAAAATATATAAAGAATTCAAAAAGCTAGACTTCAAAATACTGAACAATTCAATTAAAAAATGGGCTACAGAGCTTAACAGAAGAATCTCAAATGGCTGAAAGACATTTAAGGAATTGCTCAACACCCTTGGTCATCAGGGAAAGCCTAATCAAAACAACTCTGAGATACCATCTTACACCTGTCAGAGTGGCTAAGCTAAAAAACACTGAAGACAGCTTATGTTGGAGAGGATGTAGAGCAAGGGGAACATTCCTCCAGTTGATGGGAGTACAAACTTGTACAACCTCTCTGGAAATCAGTGTGGCGGTTTCTCAGAAAATGGGGAATACGTCTTCCTCAAGACCCAGCCATGTCACTCTTGGGCATATACCCAAGGAACGCTCAATCTTACCACAAGGAAACATGCTCAACTATGTTCATGTCATCATTATTAGTAATACCTAGAAACTGAAAACAACCTAGATGCCCCTCAACTGAAGAATGGATAAAGAAAATGTGGCACATATGCACAATGGAGTATCACTCAGCACTTAAAAACAATGATATCATGAAATTTGCAGGCAAATGGATGGAACTAGAAACTATCATCTTGAGTGAGGTAACCCAGACTCAGAAGGACAAACATAGTATGTACTTGTGGTGATATTGTGCTCCCCCAAATAGTGTGCACCCTAATAAACTTATCTGGGTTTAGAGAACAGAACAACCACTAGATATAGAAGCCAGGAAATGGTGGCACACATGTCTTTAATCCTAGCATTCCTGAGACAGATCCCTCTGGATATCTGTGAGTTCAAAGCCACACTGGAAACAACTAGGTGTGCTAAGAGCCTTTAATCCCAGGAAGTGAAGGTGGGAAGCAGAAAGGTATTTAAAGTGTGAGAATGAGAAACTAGATCCTGATTAAGCTTTTAGGCTTTTAGTGGAAGTCAGCTGAGTTCCAATCAGATGAGGACTCAGAGGCTTCCAGTCTGAAGAAACAGGTTCAGCTGAGGAATTGGCAAGGTGACACGTGGGTGACCCAGCCAAGGAGAAGTGGATGACATCTACATGAGCGGACTAGGTGTGGGGGGTGGGTGGCAGAGGGCAAGGAGTCAGGGATGAGAACATAGGGAAATGGGAGGGTCGAGCTGGAACAGGGACAGACTGGGAGGGGAGGGGGAAGATACCATGATAGATGAGGACATTATGGAAAAAGGAAGAGGCAGGGTACTGGAGAGGCTCTCAAGGATCCTCAAGAATGACCCCACCTTGATTTGTTGGCATTGGTCCAGAGGGTGCCTGGAGTGGTCTACTCTGGTGACTGGTCTAGCGAATAGCCTAGTTGTTAGTGTGGGGCCTCTGATGGAGGCAGATGCAGAGATCCACAGACAGGCACCAAGCTGAGCTCCAGGAATCCAATTGATGAGAGAGAGGAGGGATTCTGCAGGCAGGGGACGGTGACATCATGATGGGAAGATGTGCAGAGATGACCGGCCACACTCCTGGAAGCCCATGAACTGTGGACTGGTGTCTGTGGAGCCCCCATGAGACTGAACAAGGCCCTCTGTATACAGAAGATGGTTGTTTGGCTCAAACTGTTTGGGGAGCACCCAGGTAGGGAGATCGGGATCTGTCCCTGGTGCATGTTCAGGCTTTTGGGAGCCTGGTGCCTGTTGTGTGATACCCTTCGCAGCCTTGGTGCAGTGGGAAGGGGCTTGGACATGCCTAGGCTCAGTGTGCTGGGCTCTGCTGACTTCCCATGGGAGACCTTGATTTGAGGGATGAGGGGATGTGGGGTGGCTTGGGAGAGAGGGCTGGAGTCTGGGAGGAGGGAGGACATAGGATCTCTGGGTGGTATGCGGAGTGAGTAGAAAATTTCTTAATAAAGAAAAATAAAAAAAATAAGAAAAAAGAAAACGAAAGAATGGGAAAACAAAATAAATAAACAAAAATTGGTTATTAAAATTAGAAATAGTTGATTGGAAAGATTTGAAAATTTTTTAGTGTATTAAGTTAAATTGTTCTTATGTTAAAGTAGCACCAAAATGCTTTGTTTTTCTTTAAAAATGTACTGGATGACAAATAAAGTAAATTGTAAAATTGTTCCTCAAAAAAAAAAGAGGAGTGAGCAGATGTGATGTGAATATTTACAGGAGGAAGTCTGGAGAGATAGATCACACTTAGCCCAGCGTGCTTTCTCACTTTGCCACTGGGGGCCAATGTGGCAGACAGTGATTGCTCTATCAGTAGAGATATGGGAGATGGATCAAGTTGCCTGCCTTTGGCTGACCATGGAGAATTATTGCATAGTAAAAAAAATATAGAAAATAAAGCTTTATTATTTTTTTTTAAAAGGCATCATAAAATTTTCAGGAAAATGGATGGAACTAGAAAAAAAATGATCCTGAGTGAGGTAACCCAGACCCAGAAAGACAAACATGGTGTGTGCTCACTTGTAAGTGGATATTAGCTGTTAAGTGAAGCATAGTCATGCTACTACAGTCTGTAGACCCAGAGAGGTTACGTATAGAGGAGGGACTAGGGGGACACGTGGATCTTCCTGACAGGGGGAGATAGAACAGATTATATGAGTATCCAGGGGGTCTGAATGACATGAGCACAGGGGTATAAGATGGGGTAGGGGAAAGGAGATGTGGTCAAGGGAGAGTATGATAGAAGAGATACCTTGAATTGAGGGCCAATTAAAGGGTGGGGAGATCATTTGACTAAATCACTAACTGTTTTTGAACTTTCTTTCTCATTTTAAAAATAAAATTGGGATAGAATCTTGGAGAAAAAGACTGGGTATGCATTGTGAAAACTGGATCCTTTTACTGATCTTTACTACCACCTGGAACTCGACTTTGAGAACAGTTACACTGTCAGATGTAGACCTGACCAATCCATGCTGCTGTGGATTTGCCCCAGGGGAAGAAGCAGCTGTTTTAACATTGTATGGGAACAAGTAAGCAACTGTGCAAAGTCAAAAATTTTAATCATTACCTGTCATATCCTCTGAGGATACCTTCTGGAGGCCTTTGGGACTATATTGGTTTATTTGTTAATTTAATTCTGTCTATTGAACAAAAAGTCCTAAAGCAGGGTAATCACTAGCTTTACCACTTAGAAACATCACTATCCCCACTAAACTTATTATTATGGATGTTAGGTGAAGGCAGATTTCATAAACAGAACATTTCTGAAGAACTAAGTCCAGTTAACGGCCAGGCATGTGGTATACATATGTGATCCCAGAATTCAGTAAGTTAGGATTGAACAAGACAGATAGATTGCATGTTCTCACAAAGCTAGAATACCAAACATGAATCTCTCATGAAAAAAATAAATCCAATTTGCATAGTTAGTTACTGCATGGTTTCTGTCCTTTAATTTCTTAATGCGGATTCGTCTCTAATTCACATCAAGCTCACAAACACACTGTTTCCATTCCTGATCCTTCCCTCTTTGACTTTTGAAGATCCTATGATTGGAATGTCAGATAATAGAATTTCACTGATTGTGTGATGCCTTATATTTAACTGAATCTTATAAGCTCATAGATTAAATGTTATCTTAAATCTACTCATATCTGTGAAGCCTTTAATTTACTATATCAAGGATTTATCATTCTTTACTCAGGATTTATTCCATCTTCTACTTCATTCCTGAGGTTTCAATCCTGAGTATGTGGTATCTCAGCATTTCCTCCTCCTTTTTTTCTACATAAATCTCTGTAAACTGAGTCATCATATTGGCTATCTTTTCATATCTATAACATACACATACATTCTGAATTTGGTCTGATATTATGAATGGGTGTGCCTTCAATCAAGTGAGTTTAAAACCAAGGTAATTATTATCAGAGAAGCATTACAAATTAAATCAGAAGTTTCTCTTCTGAGCATGATAAAATTTCCCTTGTAGAAAAGATGGTCACCGATGAAAAGTTCAGAGCCATTTCCAGATTGCACATGTCTACGGAACACCACCCCAATCTTGGCACTTACTCCTCTTTGCACATGGACATGATATGAGGTGAGTGAAATCCACCATGAACATTTGTGAACCTATGACATTGTGATTAAGAGCCTTTAATCCCAGCACTTGGGAGGCAGAGGCAGGAGGATCTCTGTGAGTTCGAGGCCAGCCTGGGCTACCAAGTGAGTTCCAGGAAAGGCGCAAAGCTACACAGAGAAACCCTGTCTCGAAAAACCAAAAAAAAAAAAAGAGTCAAGGTTGGGAATTTCTATAAAATTATGTGATGCTCATCACTATATGGCACACACACACACACACACACACACACACACACACACACACAGAGGATTGATATAGTGGAAATGAAATTCACCACAGATGACATCAGGTACTGCACAATGAATTGACATGGGAAAATGTCTATAACCTGTACAATAATAACTCCAGAAAACTGGTGACTGGATGTCACTACAAAAATTCAAATATTTCAACCAATATTGAAAAATATTTATGTTAATTCAATTTGGAAAATAGAAAATATCAGGCAACATCAAGAAACACTGAAGACTCTTACTCAAGACAACAGGGAAATCAGAGTGTACTGGGCAGATTAACCAAGTTTTTGTCTCACTTCCTTACTGTTTGTGTCACTGTGGGTTACACATAACTGCTTCCACTGCCATGATCTGATCCACAGTAGTAGACATTCTCATCATCATCCTGGACATTCTGGATGTTCAGATTCCGAACTAGTCCAGAGCCAGAGCCTGAGAATCTATCAGGAATCCCACTTCCCTTGGATACTACATTACCAGCAGTGCCCACTCGCATCAAAAACTGGACAACCTGCTGAGAGCTTTGCTGGTACCAGTCGACATTATACTTAATGTAGTCACTGCTCAGGGTGCAGGTAAGTGTGACTGATTTTCCCAAAGAAGAAGATGCGGATGGTGGCTGAGTCAACATAGGCTGAGAAAGAGACCCTGGAAACACAGATATGAGTTAAAGATCTCATAAAGAAGAAAGTGAATAATTGCTGGGGAAAAAGGATGGGGTGAGGGAGGTTGGTGCTAAGTACTAGTGGTCTTTTTGTGGATCTTGACCATTGCCCACAGCTGACCTTTAAAGAGAGTGAGGATGATGAGGAGAACAGTCCAGGCCATGGTGGATATGAACGATGCTGTTCTTTAGACCCTCACTAAGTCTGGGATCCCAAGCCTCTTATCCCCTAAGCTTCAGTCTGTCCAGGACCTAACCTCTCATGCAAATATAACCTCCCACTTCCTACACTGAGATCTCATAAAGGTTCAGAGCTCATAGAGAAAACTCAGTCTGCCTCCCCCTTGCGGCTAATATTAACCTTCAAGACTCAAAAGCCACTTTTGCTGTCGATCTGGTGGTGGAACACAGGGCTGTGTCCTAACTTAACCTCCTTTTCTGTTTTCCTAGGAAATCTTCACAATGCTTTTCCATTCTGGCAGTCCAAAGTGGGCACTGGAGCTGTTTGTAGCACCTGCCATGGAGTCTTCCAACATAGATTGGAAAAGCCCTTGAATTATCATTCAACTAATAAGGATGTGCCCAGCTCAGTCTGGTATCCTATACTTCGTGCTGGAAAAATAAACATGAGGAGGAGATTCTGCCCATTTGTCATGGGTGTTTTGTTCTCCAAAGGAGATGTCCTGCCCACAATGAACATTTTATACTAGGTGTTGCCTGTGGGGCTCATGGCAGCTTTCCAGGGAGACACCGGACACCTCACATATTGGGAAGGTGATCATATTGTTCCTAGAGTTAATTTTACATACAGCTGTGCTGGTGAGAGTCCAACCCAAGAAGAAAAAGGGGAAAGGCATCAGGCATTTTGAAAAGCAGCTTTCTTTTTATTTCTTCTTAGTTCCTTTGTCCAAATTACAGTTTTATTTCATTGGTTCTTTATAATAAAATATCTAAGATGAACTTATTTTCAACACAGAGGATATAACTACATTAACTACTATGTTTTTTCATCTTACACTTTCTTTCGATCCTGACACTACTGTTTATCATATTCATATGTAGTAATGTCCTATCAGTATAAATATCTAATTTAAATAAAATAAATAAGAAAAAACAACTATAGTATTGAGGCACACCACACCATATTGAATAGAACACATCTTGCCATATCCAGATAACTGTGAGTCCACGGGACATGTGTGATCTGTAGTGCTATTTACTCAAAATGAGATAAATTGAGAGGCAGAGGTGAGGAGGAGTTTAGATATAGCACAACTCCACACTCAGTGTTGGAGGCCAGAGCATGGAGTGTCAAGACACCTCCATATCATGGGTGTTGGACTCTGCTATGGGAAGCTGGGCACTTCTGGTGGCCTGCCAAGCTGTTGCCCCATGCATAGCTCTTCTCAGAGCAGTGAGCTACAGCATAAAGTTCAGTATGACCCTCCCTTAATGCCAGAAGAGCTGTGTGAGTACCATTGCTGAGATTTAATTCTTCAACTACACCAATGGATGGCTATGCCTGCTAGATCATTCATTGCTAGGCTTCACACTGTGACAAGGTGTTGTGTGACCAGAGGGGAGGCTCATACCTATTTGGCCTTATGGACTGCTACAAACATTATTCAGGCAGAAAATGACATATTGGGAACCTGATACTTAAAGGCTGGAACATGTACAAGAGTGACTTAATATACTGCCTTTTGCACAGCTGATCAACTAGAGTTGATCCTGCACACAGGAGGGAAACTCCTGTGATGTAATGCTTTCCTCCTTTGCTGCCTTCTTTTGCTTGCCACAGTGGAGAGGTGATGACACAATGAAGAAGTGAGACATGAAGACTCCCTTCCCTTTCTTAAGTTTGCTTCCTACCCTGCATTGGACTATCTTCAAGAAAAATGCTGCCTAAACAGTCACAGCATATATTTGAAGAACTGCTGTTCTGTGCATTTACTTGCTGTTGTTGTTGCTAATCATCAATGGTTGTTCTCAATTTTATACAAACCTCTTCTCCATTCTATTTTAAAACTCTTCTCTCATATTTTCACTTGTATAATCTTTTGGTTAAGATTGACAAGTGGCAAATGCCATTTTAGAATTACTGATAAGTCCATGGTTAACAATTTCTGTCAGTTGAGTTCAGGAATCCCAATTTCCTTTTGGTTTTTCCTCTAAAACCCTAAGTAATTTCCTAAATCCTTTGCCCTCTGATTACCTTTCATACTCAAAATAGCTTTTATGGTAAATTCCAATTTACATAAATTTCAATCAAGTAAAATACTGATAAACAACATGGAGAAATATAGCTTGAACCTTCACCCCTACTGGCTAGATTTCATAGTGCTGGAAGATGCAATGCATGCTACCTTGGTAAAAAAGCAATCATCAGCTTCACCCATATATGAACTCTTCATGATACAGCAATGAATTTCCTGGCAAAATATGCCCACAGATTCAATAGCTGTATGAATGTTATGGAAATGACCCACCACTCTTTCATTGTATTTAAGACCTGCTCAACAAGATGGAAAACATCCATTAGCACTGACAACAAGGTTAAAACACTAAGTCTAGATAGTTTATCAGCCCCTGAGAAGAACCTCATATTATTATTCTGCTAAATAGACATGTCATTAGTGACTTCTATTGACTTATTGCTATACCTATAAATCAGTGTGTTGCTTGGATTCTAACAGCTCCCTTGGGGGAGAAGGTGAAAAGGCATAGTGGCAATGACTCAGACACTAAGAATCCGTTGAAAGCAAATAACTAACTCATTTATTTTAACTTGGTAGGCCTTATATACCCTCCTCCCAGCGCCCAGTCTGTGTACTCATCCCTCACTGGCTGGGCACAATAAGGAACCCAACAGCAATTGTTGCTAGGTCCTCAGGCCGACTCGGCATGATCAAGGACTCTGACAGCAACTCTTGCTAGGCCTTCAAGTAGATTCTGCATGATCAGGAACTCTGACATCAACTAAGAACTCTGACAGCTCCTGTTGCTAGGCCCCCAAGCAGACTCCAGGTTGGCTCTTAAGGAGTATGTTATGTGCATGCCTTGGCTACTGGTCTGAGCCAATTTCCTCCACCCTATGGGCCTGTTCTACTACATATTCACCCTTTTATGTTATTATATGGACGCTCAGCAGGAGTTGGAGTTCTTTGCTCAGGCCTTATTGACCCTGCCTCAGTGGGGCTCAGCAACTGGACTGTGCCTGTTTTAGGTTAGCTTGCCAAACAAGCTCTTACCCATCTTTGACTACCAGCCCTTGAAGAGCATCCATTCCTGGGAAGTCACTCGGGGTGGGGAGTGTCAGGCAGTAGCCTTTTGAATTTCAGAAAGCCAGGCATGCATAACCTCCTGTGGAGAGCCATGAGTTGGATGTATAAGAGTCATTAGCACCTATAGAGTCACCTTAGTGGCTGCCTGTTGCTGTTGGATGTGCTGTAGGATGTGATCTAGACTAGGATGGGACACTGCATATGGGACCCAGGCTAGTTTTGTCAAGTTAGGAAAGGTGCACGGAGGGCAGCCAAACTCACTGAGGTAGACCCTGGGTAAGGATGTACAAGATATGGCTATTTGGAGAGCTTAGGTGTGGGGTTGGAAGCTCCTGTGTATCAGGGGCAGGCAGATCAGGTCCTCTTGAAGCCTAGATGTTTGTTGGGGTGCTGGGAGGCATTGTTATACTAGTATGTACACTGCATGTGGGACCTGTTATAGGTCTGGCAGGTTGGTGATGGTTAGTGGAAGGGAGGGTCAGGCAGACCTACCAGGCAAGAGAGACCCTAGAGAAGGATGTGTAGGATTTAGCTTGATAGACAATTTGGAAAATGAGAACATTTTAACTAATATTTGCTGTGGGACGGTCTGTATGTCAAATTGCTCTGATTGGTCAATAAATAAAACACTGATTGGCCAGTGGCCAGGCAGGAAGTAGGTGGGACAAGGAGAGAGGAGAATTCTGGGAAGCAGAAGGCTGAGGCAGAGAGACACTGCCAGCCGCCATGACCAGCAGCATGTGAAGATGCCGGTAAGCCACCAGCCACGTGGCAAGGTATAGATTTATGGAAATGGTTAATTTAAG